ATCCACTGGGAGCTTGGCTAGCGCATGGACATCCGCCCAAAACTCATCCAACAAACTCACCCTCCTATTGTACGATATACGGTACAATAGGGTAGGGCTCCATTGGGGCTCATCCATGGGCTCATAACCGTGCCGGAGGAAAACACCTTTCTGCGGCGGTATCACAATCGGCTGCCCGGATAGAATTTTGGTTATGACACCCCACCAATCCGCGTTGGGCATGTATGGACACACTAGTGTGATTTCTAGCTGTTCCGCAATTACTTTAGCCAAAACCCGAGGTATTAACTCCCACGGCGCGTTAGCCTTACCTTCTGAGCCTTCGCTCTCGTCCGAGTCCACTTCGACTCCTCCACTCTTACTCCACGCCGTAGTCTTGCACAAGATGTTGCATCTCTACCGCCGCGCCCGCCGACTTGCGCGCAATATTTCGATGCTTAACGCGACCCGGCCTTACCGGAGAGCCAATTCCTGCCTAACTTCACCCGCGGTGGAACAGGGACATTCGTGTCCTTGAGCCACTGCCACTTGATGAGCGACTGCGGTATCACGATCATACTGCTGTTCGCCCACATCAATGGCCATTCCGACTGCCTCATCTGGTCAAACCCGATGAGGACATCACAACCCACGGGTATCTGCTGCATCACAACCCACGGGTATCTGCTGGCACCACATGGAAGGGCTGCCCTTCTACCAAGGCAAAACTATTCTGCCCCACGAACAAGTACATGCCCTACCACATGGCAAGGGTTCAACTCGCCCATGTCATCCAGGCCACTTAACGGTGGTCCAATATACGGTGAGTTGGGTGCCACACCGATTCGCTGCAACGCCTTCTCAGTGAGCAGGTTGTACGTATACAACCCGAATCGGCATAAGCCCACACACGATCTGTCGCCAACAGCATCGGAACCACCGCACCCTTTCAATTGCGATTATTATCCTGGCCAGCTGCCGCACCAGCTGACGGACCATTTGCACCACGCAACTGCGGACACTCTTCCGTGTCCCGACTTCTGACACAGATAACACCATGGTGGGCGCACATTACCCTGGCCTCTGCCTGAGTCATCGTCTCTCCCAACCCTAAACCCTAAACCCTAAAACCCTAAACCCTAAACCCAGCCGAGCCTGTGTACGTTAAAATAATACCATCACACTGCTAAACCCTAAACCCTAGTAAAACTCCTTGATATGATGAACCTGGTTAGGTTTAGGATAAACCTGATTAGCATGTTTTAGTTCCATAGAGTCGCACATGGTGAGACTCTCCGGACCTCACGTAAACAGTCAAATGACTTAATAAATATACCTGACCGAGGCTCACTAAGCCTCAGTAGGTTTCATAACCGTATTTGACGTGTTTACTATATTTTCACGGATAGAATTTTAGGTATTTTTATTTTCATTAATTTTATTTTCGATATTTTTATAGGTAAGTATTAAAATGCGAGAACAGATAAGTATCAAATTTGGTACAAATGATATAGGCAATTTTGGTTGTGTATACGGGAGTACAAAGTAATACATAGGAATGACAAATAGAGCACAAATGGGGTTTCATGGTTGTGATATGAGAAGGTTAAACCAAGTGTATATACAGAATAAGAGAGTTCCTAGTGAAGAGAAGTAACAGTTGGTGTGTATTCACAAGTGCATTTGAGACGGACATGCGTAACAGACTAGTCCAAGAACTTGTATACATTATTTGTAATATAGTGCAAGTCATGACAAGAGCACACACGTAGACACATGTTATGGTACAAGAATATAGACATGGGACGGGTGATAGGGTTAAGGCTATGACACTCGTCCGCGAGCTTGTGATACACAATCTATGTTAGATTGGGCAAGTTACATTGAGTATATGTGTAAACCACTTGTTGTCATACCAGTTTCCATACAAATATAGATAAACATGGTCATGAGTACAGGATTTGCACACGAATAGGTCACACACGTCTAGGCATTATTATACCCGCGATGAAAATTTATATAATATGGTCATCAGAAACATGCCTTAGCTACACAAGGACATACCGACCCTGAGGGTAATGAGAAGGATAGACATAATAGATACATCTACAAAATAGAAAGATATGTCTACAAAAGGCCACGTATATAACAGTAAGGTATAGAAATACATGGAGAAACAGTGCACGTATTTAGAAGATGGGTTGACGGACACGTCGTAGCGTGATACACAAAGACGTGGCGATAACACAGTGTCCATAACTCTCACACGATGGGCACCAACTAGTAGTTGAGATACACATATAGCCACACAGAGCACGACATGGATGAAGACGAGTAGGATCAGACGAAAGCAACACATCATGAACTACAGGCCAGCAAGATTTTAAAGGTGGGTAGTGTAACGATGTGTAACAAGTAATAGAAATCAGTTGTTATAGTAAGACGAGTTACAACCATGAGAGATAAGAATGGATCGACATACAGGTAAGACAGGTAAGTGCCGTACGAACGAGCGGGGGGGTTCGGAGTTATTAAACTCTTAACCACCGACACTCGCACGAGGTAGGGGCAACCCGGTTCGATTTGGCGAACCCCAACCTCGTTCAGGCATTCCCTTACTTCATTGTTTAATAATGATATGAATATTAGATTTCTATATAATTACGCAAGACGATACGACACTTGATCACGTTCTTCTTGTTTCTAAGTGCATTTGTACAGACACACTGGAACAGAATCAATGAAGAACATATAGCGAAGATCGCAACAAATACAAGGTAAGTTCAGGTAGGAAATGTGAATAATTAGGAGGCACCCTAGGTCAGGGCGATTAGCGCCAGGTAACTGGAACATTCCGGTCCATCCACCCTCACCCAAAGCCAAAAAAAATTGGGCCTAAATTCTAAAACTAGTCCCCGTTTTCTTTTCTTTTTTAATTTTGGGGCCTGAGACCTATTACTCCAGGGACTCCGACAAGAGCAAAATTTTCCTCCTGGACGAGAACTCCCGGACTCTAAGAGGCAGAGTAAATCAAGAGCAGAATATACTCGGAGGAGCAACAATAACTCGGAGGAGCAACCGCGGAGTTGGAAAATTGTGGAGTAGGAACACAAGTTTGAGAGTAGCGAGCGTAGTCTTTTTCTGAAACCCAGCAAACTCAGACAGAACGATAACGTTCAACGTTAACAGTTCCGCCCCAATTACGTGGTACGATAAACGTTAACGGAAATCGGGCGAGAACGCAGACGCGGCGCCAAGGCAATACGTTAACGCCCACCACGTTTAACGGCAAGGCAGCCTGACGGCATGTAAATGGGCGAAAGGTATATATAAGCATTAACGACTCCGTCCTCGACCTGAACCAACATAATGGAGAGGCACTAGAGCGAACGTCGAGCACGCACACGTCCACGAAGAACGTCGTAAGGAACGGATGCCCAAAAGGCAGCACGGTGCCCTGAGCCCCAACCTTAGAAACGAACTCATGACACCAACGTGAGGGACGACCGACGCAGCGAACGTTCAGGTTATGAGAGCCGGAGTGGACGACGAAGTGATGAACACTTCACAAGGAGCAGCGATATATCCTAATCACCCCACCGATACAGCGACGACAACACGTGGAAACGCCAGACTCGACCGTATGAGGAGGTCCACCAGTCGAGATGCAGGGCGATCCAGGATGAATAATACCCACGGGACAACGAAGGGAATCACGAAGACGACTACGACAGTGAGTTCAACCTAGCCTCCTATTCCCATGGATCACGTAGCAACAAGCATAGACGTGTTGAGTCATATAGAGATAGTCGACTAGAAACACAGAGAGAGATGCTAGAGGGGCGGTTTTGGGAAAACCCTCACGGTACAGTCGCTCAAGCCCAACAAGCATTCCGACTTCGACAGCTGTTATTGCGGCAGAGTGACAGAGGGCACCACAGCCGACACAAGCAGCCGTCTTCTACACTCACAGTCAACAGAGTATCGCGAATAACTCCACCTCTCGCACCTCTGCGCCACATCACGCACCTCTGCACACGAACCCTCCCCGGGGTGCATCGACACCCGTAGTACCGCTTAAGCAGACGAAACAGCAGCAGCTAGATTCTTGCAGCCTCATGGAAACAAAGATAGCAGAATCTGCAGTGTCGTTATGTGAAGCACAAGAGCAACACGATAAGCAACGATGCATTTCTCTGCAGGCCACCATAAATGCTTTGCAAGGAGCAGTTCAGACCCAACACTTTAAAGGCCTTAAAGCATTAGCAGAAGACTAATGAGCCTCGCTAATGGCCAGACTAGACTGGCCACAAGAAAGGTATCGACTCCACAACGTGGCGGAACGTGACACAAAAGGGGAAACAGGAGTTGCATTGACGCGGCATCCGCAAAAGAATGGAATTTACCAACAACATTAGCACCAGAAGGAGCTTATATGTATTTAGCAGACAGATTGTTACGCACGAAACGGTTGAAAGCTACACTCGCTACACCAGTTCAATATGGACTAGAGATATCGACACAATTATTCGAGCTGATGAACTTACCCCCATCAATAACCGTCATCATAGACCAAGACCTGATGCCGAGTTTGGGTTTGTATAAAGGAGGTCTCCAGTCTCCCTTTGTACCAATTGACTCGACGGAACTAGACAAACTCTTGGAACCTATCCCACTCCGGAATGGCCCAGATTTGAT